GGGGGGGCGAAGGGGGGGGCGAAGGGGGGGGGCGAAGGTAGGGCGAAGAAAGACTATTATATTAATCAATAAAGAGCAACGGGTATGGTGTGGGACTGTACTGGGGGAGTTTCTATATAGACCTATTGTAGGCCGGAATTTAGGCTGTAGGTCTGTCTGTAGGTCTGTCTATTGTTTGAAGGTCGGCATTTACAGGGTGGACCAATAAAATTGAGAACAACTCATAGCGTATGAGTTATTTCAAAATATACTTTAATTAATTATAATTCTTCATGGAATTTTTTTTTGCAAAATATTAAGCTAATCAGAAATCATGTTCAATGTGTCCTCCTTGCTTCTCAACGACTTTTTCCCAGCGTCGACGCCACTCGTTTCTGCTTCTGTCAATGAAACGTTGCCTCAGATTTCGATATTCCTCGATTATTGCCAACTTGGGCGGCTCAACTGTGGTAAATTGTCGCCGAAGTTAGGCTTTTTCATGCAAAGCACCCCATATGGCATAATCTACTGGGTTTAAATCTGGGCTGTTCGGTGGCCACATGTCTGGCTCGATGAAGTTAATATTCTCCCGCAGAAGTAAGTTGATTCTAGTTCTGGCTGTGTGAGATGGAGCTCCGACCTGCTGCAATGTCCAGTTATGGCGACCACATTTCGCTTGAATGTCAGGCAACAATCCTCTTCTGAGAACTTGTTCACAATAAAATTCATTGTTTACTTTGGCGCACGGTTCAAAGAACACAACACTAAAATTTCGTCTGTAAACCAGATGCTTCGTACACTGCTCTCATTATTAAATCGTTCAAGCAGCTGCCGACTGCGTTGCAAGCGTTTCAACTTGCCATTTTCATTGAGCATCTGCCCAATCACACGCTTGTATGTTTTAAGTTGTAAATCTTGCTTTACAATACGTCGCACCGAAGACCGTGGTATACCAGTTTCTCTTTCTATTTCCCACGGACTTGTGTGACTGTGAGGATCATCATCTTGACTGCAGATAAGCTCACTCACTCGTTCAATCTTCTGTTGTGTTCTAACAGTCTTTTGTCGACCACTTCCTGTTTTACGTTCCGTTGAACCGTCGTTGTCAATTTTATTGATAACCCGACTGACACTTGCTAAGCTCCAGGCTTTGTTTGCAAACTCGTTGGTCCTTTTTCCTAGCACCCCACTGTTTTTCAATTCGCAAATGTTTAAACAGAATACGGTTTTCTGCAGTGATTTTTGTCATTCTGGGGTAAAAATTTTAAACAAACAGATGACGTAAACAATTGGCATATTAAAAATAAAAAATGGCGACCGGAAATAGTCGAAATAATGACGTCAGATAGCTAAATATGTAAGTAAGTAAACCAATAAGCTATTTAAGCTAGTATGGGTATAGTTAAACTAAAGATGATGTAATTAAATCATATTTTACGAGATGTTCTCACTTTTATTGGCCCTCCCTGTATAATAGAAATTGAGAAGTTCTCTCTTTTTGTGTAACGCTTTGTCCCACCAGGTATTTTCTCAAAATACCCGGACCCGGTGTAAAAAAATTGAACCCGGCTAATCCCCAGTATCTTATATTATGGTTTTAAGCTCTTGATAGTCCTCGCAATGTAGTGGATCAATCTGAAGGTGAACTGGATCAATCTGAAGGGGAACTGAATGAGAATCTGTAAGTGGATCTCATCATTGAAAATCTGATTAGTGAAACTATCCTGAGCTCACTGAAGAAGGATCTTCACTGGTATGAAAACGATTCCCCGCCACTAAATTTGATTGAAGAAAATGTATGAATCTGTTCAGGTATCCGATTTTTAAGACATTTGCAACTGTCACCATTCTAGCCTGTCAACTTGTACTTCCAATGAATGTAAAGCTCTCTGCGATGGTGAATTATTATTTCTAAAGAAGATTTAATTAATTTAATAATTTTTTATTCAAGGGAAATAATTGAAACTAAACTTCTAAATTAGAATTAAAACGTTGCCTCCCTGTAATGAATTATTTTTTTTAAAATGATGAAATAATGTATAGTACGTCGGAGACCACCATTTAACCGACGTGAACCAATGATGTCTGTTTCGTAACTCTCCTAAGATCCCCCCCCTCCCAAAAAAAACAAAAAACAATTTTAAATTAATATGTATTTATTTCTTAGAAAATGCAGTGCAAAATTATGAAAAGCACAGTAACGATGTTTCAATGCCAGAAAATTTGGCTGTTGTAGCTTAAGAAGATTAAGAAGATATTGTTGTTGAGTCATTCTCTGGTAATAATGAAAAAAAAAAAAAAAAAAAAAAAAAAAAAAAAGAAATACTATTTAAACACACTTGTTATATTTCATTAAGACTTGAATATTTTTTTTTCAAATTGGAATTTTAATTGCATGTCAAATTACAAAAATATAAATTTCGTTAAATATGTATTTAACTCCTTAATTTCTAGATACCTTATCTGACATATACAAATTTAGATAATACAACTTTTCAAGATATTTTAACTTGTTTAATAATTTAGAGTGTATGCAATGGATTGCCTTGGTTAAACGTGGCCTTGGGTGAACTCTTGGGTTTGTCATTTTTAGCACACTAACATACATGCATATAGATAATTAATATATACATTAAACATAAAAACAACCCCAAAGGTGCCCCCCATATCGGTCACCCCGTTTGCAGCCCTTAGATACGCCACTGGGTGCGTGACTTTATTTTAGAACGTGTAGGCTGACCTTTGACCTTACGACCGGTGGCCGTGTCATGTTAACCCCATAATGTTTGCATAATGGCAGGTTTAATGTTTACATTTTTTAGCACTGTCATTTATTCACTTCGTTTGGCTACGATCGGGGTGATAAGGTCTCGCCAGAAAAGTCATGTTGGGCATTTTCCCAAAATTTTTGACACGTGGAGTCCAAATCTTTCACCGTTAGAACAATGATCAATACATTAGTAGTCAGATTAGTATAGTCTCTAGATCCTCGTTGGGGAACCTTTTTTTCCCTCAAAAAAAGAGAGAAAAAACACACTATGGGATATGTCCACATTTGTTTTTTGTAGAAGAGAGTAGCTTGCCCATGGACGCAACCTACTTTGTTCAATTTGGGTTGGTTCCAAAATCGTGTTTGTATTTTCCAAACTCTGTTCCAGTAAGTAGAGTTAGGCTAATTAAATCAGACCCAATAATAAATATTGACTTTTAAAATGTATTATTTTAATCTTAACAATTTCTTTCCTTTCAATTCACGGTGACGTCATCCAATCAATGTTTACTTAGTCAAACCACGAAGACTGCAAATGATATGAACCATTCCAATGTGCTATTTTTTAAAATCCGAAAATAAATATTTTTTCCTCCATGGTCGTACCCCATATATGAAGCAGGAAAGAGTTCTATTAAATGTGATTAAGTAAAGAAATCAACTGTACTTATTACTTAGCAGCAACAACAAACAACAAAATCCAGGAACGGTGTTCTCATGAGTTATTGCGGGAATTGACTCCTGGATGGGGGTGACATTTTTGTTCTTGTCGTGGGAACCATATGTCTTCGGTACACCTCTTGTTACAATAGGATTTTGCTTTGTGCATCAAAACACTTGAAGTCTTGGAACTATTTTCAAGCGCATGAATTGCCTGTCCGTTAGAGGTCGCCACCGTCTCTGCAAGAGCCGACACACCTCGTCCGTACACTCGTCGTAATTAAGCGAAGCCCGTTTCAGGTGGGCGTAGAAGTCTTTGGACATTTCACCACAGCGCAGCCAATCACAACGCTTTATAAGTCCGTATTTCCTGGCGAGCAGGGTTGAGAGACGCTTCCCTTCGTTTGCGACAAGAATCAGGGTCGCCGTGCTGATGCGCTCTCGGATAATTAACGTGTGCAAGGACCTGCAGCGTCGAACCAAAAACAGAAGCGACGAATCACATCTGAAGTTGAAACCACGCGGGCCGTGAACCCTAGGCAGACGTTCTTGTACGAAATAACGCAGCGTTTTGCTGTAGTGCTCCACCAACGACATGACAAGATCGCTGGTCAGTCGCGTGTAAGGAGTGCGTAGGAATATACCGTGGACGGGCGCTCGGGGTTGAATCAACACCTTCGACTTCGCTCTTCCCGAAACTTCCAAATAGACGTGCAGCCACGGTGCCATTTCACGCATAAGCTTCCACGCCTCGCTGGACACCGGCTCGCACTCGCACGTGTACGGGTCCTGGACGAGGAAAAGCTGCATGATATTCAGGCCGGCCAACATGAGCAGAACCTCCTCGCTGAGATGCTGGGGGCTGATTGACAGCTTGATCAGGTTCCTGAACCTGGCCAGCTCTGGGAGGGCCAGCGGCACCTTGGAGACGTTCAACATCTCGAGGGAGCTCAAGCTTTCGCCGAAGCAGTTGGTGATGGCGTCGAACAAGGACGGGACATCCATGACGTCGATAAGAAGCTGGTTGAGCTTGAGGTGTTTGAGGTTGCTCATGCGCACCAGGAGCTGTTTGATCATCTCTAGGATCTGGCCGCCCGTGCCGTGCACCATCTCCACGCCCTCGCTGCGACTGGCGCAGGCAAAGGTAAAATCAAATGTGTGCAGAAGCGGCATGGCTATCTGGCCGTGGTCTTCCTGGAACTGGAGGAATGCTGCAAGAATACGCAGGAACTCGTACAGGTTGAAGTAGTCCGTTATGGGTGTAACAACAATTCGCTTAAAAAAGGAACCTACTCTCCGGAAGCATAACTGTGGATGAACAAGGTACAAGATTTATTTTACATGTTAATGTATTTTCAGTTTTAAATAAATATGAGTTACACACTTTTAGCCTCATCCATTTTGACACAATTTTATATATAAAGTCATGTCTTTAAAAAAAAAATTGAATACATTAACTTATTTATTGGTAAAAATTACAGAAGGACGATTTTTTGTGTTAAATTGATACATGTCAATACTCGCCCTAACTTAAAAATAGCTTAGTATTTTTATCTGCAGAAACATCTGTAGACAAGCTTAAGTCAAGTTCTCCTTCATCTGCGCAGCTGATATGTTAACATTTGCTTTGTCTCGTTATCGGCAAATTAAGTTTTTTTTAATTTGTATCTATGTGAGAGAGCATTTGAATACATCTATTTTGAATTAAAACGATAATCTCAAGCACAGTTTGTACGCGTGCACCCAACTTTACTTAACCATGGATAGACGTAATGCGTTTAACTTCGTATTGTTTTTTGTGTTGGCAAGGTGCACTTTTATCTCACGGTCAGCGTGTGTTTACGCTTAATTTTGCTTTTTTTGTAGTTGATGTCGATACCTAATTTTTTTAAACTGTGTTTAAGTACTGACGCTAAGGCCTATTTTTTAAAATGCTCATGTGAGTTGTTGCTAAGGCCTCATTTGTACCTGTATTTGTGTGTTGATTCCAAGGCTTAATTTTTTTTATCTGTGTTGAGTGTTGATGCAAAGACCTAATTTCTACATGTGTTTGAGTGTTGATGCTCAAGCCTCATTTTTCACCTGTGTTTGAGTATTGTTAAGGACTAAATTTTACCTGTATTTGAGTGTTGATGTCAATTCCTAACTTTTACCTGTGTTTAAGTGTTTATGCTAAGTCCTAATTTCTACACGTGTTTGTGTGTTGATGCTAAGGTCTCATTTTTACCTGTTTTTAAATGTCGATGCTAAGGCCAATATTTTTACATGTGTTTGTGTGTCGAAGCTAAGGCCTAATTTCTACCCATGTGTGTGTGTCGATGCTAAGGCTTCATTTTTACCTGTGTTTTCCCCGGGCAAAGCTCCCGCTGATATCCCTTGTACAGGTTAAATCGCTTCTTCGTCAAAGTTCTCTCCAGCAGTATAAAAGTCTCCCACACACGAGGTGAGTAGAACAGGTCGTACCACTGCCGGCACACCTGGGATGCCTGGTGGCGCTCCTTTGGCGTAAGAAGCGTGAAGATATCTTCAATCAGAATAACCGGTAGGTACGCCCAGGAGTCTAACTCTCCCTCCTCTTTTTCGTCGTCCTCATCCTTGACGTCCCTCTCGGCGTCCTTTGTGAACGGACACGACGATGAGTACGGCACTACGGTCCTGACGAGTGAGAAGTCATTGCGATCTTGCGAGGGAAGAGACGAGGACCTCTTGCTGTCTCGCGAGATCCCGTACTCGGCTTCCTTGTTGCAGTCGTCCACCTTTTCCCGCAGCTCGTCCACTTGTCTCCGCAGCTCGGACACGTCACCGTCACTCAGATGCTTTAGAGAGACTTTGACCAGCTCGAGACTGGCCGGTTGGCCATCCGCCATCGCTTCTTCCTCGGCTATGAGCCGCTCAATGATTGTCTCGATGTCTTCGATTTCGCCTTTGTCTTCGCCGGATGGCTCGCTAACGCCACTGGCTCCGTCTTCTAAACCTGAGTTATCAGAAACCGACTCGGACCGTTCTCTGCACTCATCATCAGCGGGGAGTGTCCGGTCGCTAATTTCCGGCCCGCACAGTTCGTTCTGTATGGTCGCGTTAGTATCGGTTGGTGTGTTTTGCGTCTCGACTGGTCTGTAGTTGGAACGTTCAACATTAAAGCCATTAACATTATGTTCTCTAAATAATTTTTGACCTTGACCTTGTTCCTCCTCATAATAACCAACCAGTTCGTCCGGAGCGGACTCAGCTGTGCTTGAACGCCGTTTCGGAATCGCGCCCTCGTAACAACTTTGCGCATACTTAGAATACGCATGCTGATCTTTTGACTGTGGTGGGTCGCACCCCCCTTTGGCGCCGTTGTCATGTCCATTATCAGGTATGATGTTTTCTTGCGCAACGCCAGGCGCCTCTTTGGTTTCAGAACGCGTGACGTCATGATACGCCTCAACCATAGGTGCTTCCTCTTCCTGGCTTCTGGAGTAGTCTGAATATTTGGATAGGCGTAACCGTAGCTGAAGATGACCTTCAGATTTTGTCCGTGAGTACCGCTCACGGCGCTCTCTGTGCGATTCCGGTGGATCGACTCCGGAACGGTGGCTCCTGAAGTGTTCGACGTGAGCTGCGGATGCATCGTGTGCGGCACGGCTGCGGTCCTTTCCGTCAACTCTCCTTTCTGCGTCACAGTTTTCCTTTTCACTGTCGTCCATCATTAGACTGTGCACACGCAGGCGCCATTCAAAACGAGGCTGAGGTTTTTCAGGTTCCGAGAATCGCCGCCTGGAACTCATGTAACTCGACATCTTTGACATCTTTTTTAATATTCTAAGGTCAATGTGAACTTGTTTCTTATTCGAGAAATATGTTATTGTAAAGTTTTACCTATTTTGCATTTTGCCGATAACCGCAAAATTATTTCTGAGGAGGAAAATAAAAAGACAGCGTGAATTAGGAAGTAAACATAATTCAAGTACAATATAAATTAAGCTTTCATTTCTTTGCAATGTGTTTGAACGATCGAAGGTGAATCCGAAGATGGGTAGACTGACTCGATCATCTACAAAGTGCATAGCTCATGTAAGGGAAACAACATGTCCCCCCCCCCCACCTTACTCTCAAATAGTAATAACATGTAGACTAATTGAAATTCCACTGTTTCTTTCCAGCCCTGCTCAAAGACGTACAGTATGGAAGAATAAAGAACGGCTAGTTTATTAACTTGACAAGATTCTTTTGCATTCTCACTGCGGGGCGTCTGCTGGAGGGACAACCTTAGGTTATTGCCCTTGTTTCCACTTACTAGAAGCGCGCAAAATAGCCTTTCCCGCAATGAAGCTTAGTTTGTACCCTTTCTTTTTTTTTTTTTTTTTGGTAATAAATACAGCACACTTTAATTAAATTTTAAGGAAATTCGTCAAACCTCATCACGTGAACATCTCACTAAAGGTAAAATCATTCTTTAAAAATTTTTTAACAAATTTAATAATAAATTTTGAAAATTCCCACTAACAATATTGTTTATTGTAGGCGTATATATTTTTGATGAAAAGACAAAAGACACATTAAGATTTATATAAGCTCTAGCTCCACTTGATGGCCTCATCTTTCTGTTATCTGGCATACCTGGTATTTCATTGTTGTTCCTCTATCGGCATTGTGTTTTAGGATCGTGGACTTCTTTTTTTTTTTTATCGTTACGAACTGGTTTCTGCTGGGTTTTTTTTTTTAGCCTTGACCTCGCGTTGAAAACAACAAAACTTTCGTACTAGAGGCTGCGTTACGTAACTCTATCGGCATTGTGTTTTTGGTTCGTTGACTTCTTTTTTTTTTTTTATCGTTACGAACTGGTTTCTGCTGGGTTTTTTTTTTTTAGCCTTGACCTCGCGTTGAAAACAACAAAACTTTCGTACTAGAGGCTGCGTTACGTAACTCTGCTCACTGCCTTTGTCTTCCAATGTGCAGTAGGCCTATATCTGACTCACACTCATGCCATAGGTAGTTCGCACTTGGAGAAAAAGGGGCGCAGTGTTTTGTTCGAATTCAAGTCTGCTGCGGAAAATGTGCGTGGTTGTTAGAGCCTCGGGTGGCAGAGCAGCCAGCGTTGGCCTGATGAGAGAGCGAGAGAGAAGAGAGAGAGATGAGAGAGAGGGAGAGAGAGAAGAGAGAGAGTGAGAAGAGAGAGAGAGAGAGAGAAGAGAGAGAGATAGTGAGATAGTGAGATAGAGAAAGTTAGAGATAGCGATAGAGAGGGAGAGAGAGATAGAGAGAGATAGAGTGATAGCGAGAGAGAGAGAGGGAGAGAGAGAGAGGGAGAGAGACAGCGAGACAAGGAGAGAGGGAGATATAAAAAGATAGAGATAGCGAGGAGGCGATAAAGAGAGAGAGAGAGCGATAGAGAGAGAGAGGGGTAGAGATGGAGAGATATCGAGAGAGAGAGAGAGAGAGAGGGAGAGAGAGGGGGCAAGAGGGCTTTCTGATATGCTGAGCCTTCATGCGTATGTGAGAGGTTTGTGAAAGTGATGCGTTCATGTTGTGTGTAACCGTATGTGTTGAGTGGTGGTTAGACAAAAATATGTGTGATCTAGATGTGTAAAAGGGATGAATTTATGTCGTGTGAGTGTAGTTGTTGGAAGTCTCACTTGTGTGGTGGGTGGAAGTCGTATGTGTGTAATGTGGGAGGGAAATCTTATATGTTGAATGTGGTGTGAGTTCTGGAGGAAAAAAATACTTGTGAAATCTGGCAAGAAATCTAATTTAATGGGTGAGGTTACTATGTAAGTGTGATATGTGAGTATTCTGATGTGTGAGTATTCTGATGTGTGAGTATTCTAATGTGTGATTGCTAGAACTGTGTCACCACACACTGAGAATCTTCTGACTATCATGGCGTCCTCTTGTTTAGGTCTTGTAGGAATCCTTTCAAAAAACCCTTCCCAAAGATGGCGCATCTACAACGGTCCTTTTCTAGTACGATGCCTAACACAAATTTAGAACACTTTCACTATCCAGCCACCTACCTCTCCTCTTTATTCAACGTCAATGAAACTCAGATATCCATGAAATGTTTTAGCATCCATATAAAAGTATCACTCTCCGTCTCCGAGAATCATGTATTCATTGTCTGCCGCAAAGACGCAGAAAAAGTTTGAGCAACAAGGCAGTGCTTACGAAAGTCTGTGTGTTACCTGGAGCACAGGAAAGCCTCTCTTTACCTGTCCCAGTTAAAATGCTGCCGCGCAGTAGATGTTAGAACGCATGTACGTTCTAATTTTAGCCCAAGGGTCAAGGTTGCTCACAGCAGATGTTTTTACAAACGGCTGGACGCTTTTTTTTTTTTTTTTTTAAATTTTGTAAACACAGGAACGAAAAACATGGCTGTACCAGAGGTATGAGAGGAAATTTTAGCCCAAGGGTCAAGGTTGCTCACAGCAGATGTTTTTACAAACGGCTGGACGCTTTTTTTTTTTTTTTTTAAATTTTGTAAACACAGGAACGAAAAACATGGCTGTACCAGAGGTATGAGAGGATATAGCACGTGTTTGCCAGAATTATGAGATGTTAAAACATGTCTTTAATACTAGACCTGTGAGATGTTAAAACATGGCTTTACCAGACTTGTGAGATGTTAAAACACGGCCTTAATACCAGACTTGTGAGATGTTAAAACGTGGCTTTCAATGTGCCTTATCCGTGTCACGTGATGCTAGCAGTGCTTTTTGTGACGGAAAGCTATTTTGGAAGGAATTTTTTTTTTTTAAATTAAATTTTGTGTTGAAATTTCTTTCATTAACTATTTAAAAAGTTTACGCTCAAAATAGATTAGATAAAATTTTAAAGCCTCATCAGTACTTATTAAAATATATTTTTTTTAACACAAGCAAGCCCAGCAGCCCCGACGCTTGACTTTTCGAGGCCCCCGGACACTTTTTGGTTTTGCCCCCACCCCTCAATACTTTGCATTCAAAGTGGAAATTAAAAAAAGCTTTACAATATCCAAGGTCCCCTGCAGCCGTACGGGTAACTGGGCCAACATGATGGCTCTGAGGTTAAATGACACATTTTAACTAGCATCTCTTCCGTTGTTCTCCAATTTGGTGTAGATTGTTGCAAAGCTGAATTCGGGTATATTCTAAAATGCATTCTTGCATTCGGAAGTTATCAAAACAAATTTGGCTTCCATAAACATTTAAGGGTTAAGAAAAACCTAGGGTAAAAAGCATACCCTCAAGGGCGCCACAACTGGAGTGAATTTAGTTCATGTTTGGGCTGGGGCGGAATTAAAGATATTCTTGTTCATTATTATGGCTAATTTTGGCACTTCCCACCGAGAATCAGAAATGCTCCCGAATTCCAGAATGCGTCAAAATTCATGCTTGCATTTTGAATTTGCCCGAGAGTCTTCGACACCCTTAATTTCTGCCCTCCACTTTCCTCGCGCTTATCAATGTGACAGTACGGGGTTGAATCTAAGTGTTTCCTAAATGAGAACTTTGAGACGCGTCACAACCGGAGTGAATTCAATTTATGTATGCCTCCCCCGGACATTAAATACATTCTTTCCCTCGATCAATAGAAAAATTAATGAAGATATATTCAAAAATGCACCTCTTGATTTTTAAATAATCGAAAATTTTCTGGGACGAGGACTCCACGTACCCTACTTTCGCATTCCCATTCATGATGCAAACTTTGAAGTTATCCGAAATTGTCGCCCCTCGATATAATTAAAACTTGACACCTGGGTGGGCCAACCCATTCACCTTCCTTTCCACATCTCTGGCAGATGAGTAGCGAGAGCGTTTGGTATCAGGGTTACAATATTCATTTTCACGCCCCCCACCTTAACTCTGAAACCTAGAGTTATACATTAAATTAATTTAAATACCACCAAAGCCCATTTTGTTGCCACCGATAGTCTGGCACCCAAAGATGTCTGTCCCCTCTGTTCCCCTCAGGTACGCATCTAACCACAGGCACTGCCCCCCATCCCCCCGAAAAATCTAAAATGTCCCAAAGGAGGAAATCATCTGAAAGAAACATTGCTTGTGACCCAGCTTGGCCCATGCGTTATCACCCTCTTAATTTTGGGGGGGGGGGGATTCTGGCATTCAAAAAAGGGGGGGGGTCATTTTTGGGTTCTGTGGGGAAAGGGGATTTTGGCGTTCATGTGGGGGTGGGGGAATTCTGGCGTTCATGGGGAGGGGGATCTATCGACACCAAAATTAGGCATATTGTCACTCACAGGCAGCTCTGGCTCCATCGCCCCAACCACACATACACATTTATTCATCTGGTTACGGCGCACCCTAGGGGTAAGCTTTTGGGGCCCCGGTTAGTTTCACCCCTGATCGCTGGACGTTACATAGTCCAATGATCTATATATACATCAAAGTAAAGTAAAATCATATGTAAGGTCAAGAAAAATTACTAACATCACCTGCGCTTAAAAAAATGAAAGGTTGCTAGTACTGATAACTTTGACCCGGGGGGGGCGGGAGGGGGAAAGCAGAAATTGCACCAGAGCAACTCCCTGACGCCTTTGCGGACTTCATTACAAGGGTGCAAACGATCAGGGAGGAGATAGACAGTGTGACCCCTACACCTTCCTCACCGTTCTCGGATGACGTTAGTCAGACAGAATCATTTGATAGATTCCTGCCTGTGACTGAGGATGAGGTGAGGCGAGTCACTATCAGGTCTGCTCCCAAAGCTTGTGCCCTCGATTCGATCCACGTCCCACTGCTTGTAGAATGCCTTGACGTCCTCCTCCCAGCACTCACCTCCATCATAAATTCTTCGATTCTCTCTGGCATTTTCCCTCCCATTTTTAAACGGTCGATAGTCCTGCCACTCCTAAAGAAATCCTCACTTCATGCAAACACACTCAATAATTACTGCCCCGTCAGCAACCTCTCCTTTCTCTAAAAAATCATATAAAAACTCATACTCTCTCAGCTCTCTGACAATGTTCCCTCTCGCAATATCTATCCTTCCTCTCAGTCCGCCTACCGACTTGGTCATAGCACAGAAACAGCACTGGTACGAGTCATGAGCGACCTCCTGCGCGCGATGGACGATGGCAAACTCTCTATTCTCACTCTGTTAGATCTCTCTGCTGCATTTGATACCATTGACCACCAGATTCTTCTTGACCGTCTTCATCTTTCTTTCGGACTTATTGGCTCAGCTTCAAACTGGTTTCAATCATATCTTTCTGACAGAACTCAAACGGTCTTTCCAACCGCTCTTCTAAACCTTCAGCCCTGTCTATTGGAGTTCCTCAAGGATCGGTCCTTGGCCCGGTACTTTTCATCCTCTACACTAAACCTCTATCATCTCTCATTAGCAACCACTCAGTTTCCAGTCAATCCTTTGCTGATGACACTCAAATCAGTGACTCTTGCATTCCTGATCAACTTGATGCCACAATCCTTCGCATACAGGAGTGCGTGGACGACGTAAAGCGTTGGATGACTTGCAACAAACTGAAGCTAAATGATGATAAAACGGAAATCCTTCTCATCCACTCTCAAAACAAACATCTCCCTCCATCCGCTCCTTCTTCTATATCTATTGGCAACTCTGACATCACACTCTCTTCCTCTGCCAGAAACCTTGGAGTCACGCTTACAGACACCCTCTCCATGGACAAACATGTCATGAATATATGCAGATCAGCATATAACGAAATTAGAAAAATCAGCACCATTAGACACCTCCTCTCCTTTGATGCCACAAAAACTCTCGTCTCTTCACTCATTCTTTCAAAATGTGACTACTGTAACACTCTTCTCGCAGGCATTCCTCAACACCACATAGACAAACTTCAGAAGGCACAGAACTCAGCATGCAGACTCATTTTTAAATCAAAGAAACATGACCACATTCAACCACACATGCGGCAACTCCACTGGCTTTCAATATCCTCTCGCATCAAGTACAAGTCTGCCAATCTATGCTTCAACTCGTTCACTGACCCTCACTTTCCTGTCTATCTCTCTGAACTGTTGCTTCCTTACATCCCCACATGACAACTACGCTCTTCCATTGACAATAGAACCCTCTCAATCC